TGCATAAACTTGCACACCAAAAGGTATAAAAGAATAAAGATATAGACACAAGTGTATTACAGTAAATAAAAGCTTAAGAACATTTTGCATACTTTAGTACAATAAATTCATATTTGGTTAGCTTATTTGGTGAAGTGATTGATTTTTTGCCTGCTTTCTATTGAAAATTTGAAAACCATTTACTAAAGGTAAACTTGTGAACCTTATACCAACACTATATTGATATTGTAAAGCTGCATGACTTTGAGATCCCATGTCAGCAAACATCAGTTTTTGAATGTGCAGGAAAAGAATATGCAAATTTGATCCACATAACTTATTTTGAGATCTACCACGTGTTCTACTTATCATTTAATTATGCATGTACGTGGTTGTTAGCCACATATCCCAATTAGCTATCTATTTGGAAGAAATATGAATGGCTCAAAGAGCCAATATTGCCTGTCTCTGATATGAGCTTAGTAAATTCCTCAGATTTGAGGTCAAGGATACCTTCAAAAAGGAAACAGAGAAGCTGATAATTCTCTTACCCTTTTTATTAATAACCATTCATGGTTTATCATTGAGAGTTGGTAAAATTTGTTTGTTATTATGCGATAATTTTGGTCTATCTGGTTAAATTTGTAAAATGTTCCTAGAGCTGCCAACGTCAATGGTGTAAATCCTCAATTTCAGATGCTGTTAAATGAAGGGAATTTTGAATTAATTATGCATAACTTTTACTGTTATTACGTTTCTTGGTTGTATAATTCTTTTCAATCACAGGAAACGAATTATTGAGTTATAATAATTTGTAGTCTGATATATCTATGACAGTTAAGCTTGGTGTGGGAGGGTTCAGCATGGGAGCTGCTACTGCCCTGTACTCCGTGTCCTGCTTTACTGCTGGGAAATATGGGAATGGGACTGCTTATCCTGCCAACCTAAGTGCAGCTGTTGGTTTAAGTGGCTGGCTTCCATGCTCAAAGTCTGGTCTTCTGACAATATTTCAACTTCTCATGTTACTTCGATTCAACCCCCCTTCCTTCTGCTTTCTATATTACTTAATGAAATTGCTATATTTCTATTCTTCGCATAGGACCTTGAGCAACAGGTTACAAGGGATAGATGAAGCTAGAAGGCGTGCTCAATCCTTTCCTGTTTTGCTGTGTCATGGAAAAGGTAAATCTATCAAAAATAAAATATACTTTTTTTGTGAAATAAGTGGTCTTATAAAGTAGATTTTAATTTTGACTAAACACTACAAAAGCAGAATACAGGATGCGGTTTGCACCTATGTTATAATTTGGCTATATCTTTAGTCGACATAGAATCTTCAACACACCTCCTCGTAGTGAGGATGAGTCATTTTAAGTCTGAGATTAAATATTTATGGGTGATCTGAAAGTGTGTCGCGTGATAGACCCAACAACCCTGGTTCGAATTGATGCAATGCCATTATAGAAAGTGAACTTTAAGCTTATCTTAATTTCATAAAACTTGTTTACAAGGTGAGATTTGCACTTATATAGTCTATATGGATCTCCATTAAGTGGAAAGAAAAGTGTTAAATTACAACTAGAGGCTCGATTAAAAGTCTAACATAATGGAAATTGTTAAACTATAAGAAAAAAGTGAAGCATTAAGTTTGAAATCGTGTTTTTCTGTGACAACACGAATAATTTATTTATATTAAAAGAATGAAATCAATACATTAAATAAAGAAAGTTTTATATAATAATAAATATATGATACTAGATTAAAATTCCGTAATAATAATAACAATAACACACACACACACATGATCTTGATGTTTCTAATTACAAAGATATAATCTTGATATCTATAATTATAAAGTCGGAGCATATAAGTCTTATGTGCTCATCTTTCTAGAGATGTGATTGATCTTTGGTCTTAGAGACTTAGAGAATATGTCTACCAACTGTTCACTAGAGTTGACAAATTTAATGGTGGTATCCCCAAATTCCAACTTTTGTCATGTGAAATGACAATCTACCTCAATATTCTTTGGTTTTTCATAAAATTCATGATTTTAAGCAATACATAATGCTGCTTGATTGTCATATATAATATGCTTTTCAGAATTTTCTTCAAATCTAAGTTATTTGAGAATTTGTTTTAGCCATGTGAGCTTGCAGGTGTCTGAAGCCATTACCTTGAATTCAGCTTTTGTATTTGATGACATTTTGTTTATTACTTTCCAAGATATTAAATTACTCACAACAAGAACACAATATCCTGAAGCGGAGTGGCCATCACTGGGTGGGTGGGAATACCCAACTAGCAATAGAGTACACAACAATTCGAGTACTCCCCTTGTCTTCATAAATAAGGTCTTTGCCAAGAGTATTCTTAATATATGCTAGAATCCATACTATTGCATCCCAAGCCTCTTGAGAAGGAAAGTTAAAAAAATGACTAACTACACTCACTGCAAAGACAATGTCTGGACGAGTGATGTGAGATAATTTAGCTTACCAAATAATTGTTTGTGTCTCCTTGGGTCTAAATAAACTAATTTGGTGAGGTACAAGTTTTATGTTTGGATCCATTGGTATGTCTACTGACTTAGCATTAACTTCCCTATTTCTTCTAAAATCTCCGGTTTTAAGTCACTGCTTTTGGCCAGCGTGTTGGATGGTTCTGTAGATTGGTGTTGGGTGATCTTGGCCTTGTGGTCGTTGGAGTGAATAGAGGTCGTTGGAGCACAGAAGGGTGCAAAAAACAAAACCCTCCACCAGAAACTGTGGGTCCATTGTGCCAAGGGGGCACTAGATATCGTGTTAAACTATATGAAATAGCAAATCACCTGGATGTACATATAGCACCAGCGTTGTGATAAAAATTATGCAAGTTCTGTTGGGTTTTGCTTAGATTTTTCATGGAATAGAATTTGGACTAAATAAGTTTCATGAAGAGTTGTTTTAATCACAACATAAGTTGATCGAGAAGTGGGTCACCTAAGTAGGTGATTTGCTATTTTCTTTGATTTCAAAATTCATGCTTTTGCAAAATGCTGCAAAAACATTTCTTTATTTAATGTATATTCAGGCAGACACCCCTTATTATTTATATGTTCCGTTAATAATTACCATTGGTTAATGTTTAAGACTGTTAATCTAGGTTGAATAAAATTTTCTATGTATTTTGTAGGGTAAAATCCATACAATCATTTTATAATGTGCTCTGGTTGTGTTCGAAATTAAGCTCGTTTTCGCCAACATTAAGGCTATTGCTTGGTAATTCAACTTTGAATTGTGGAGTGAATAACATTTGTATTTATTTTCTCAGGTGATGATGTTGTTCCCTATAAATTTGGTGAGAAGTCATCGGGGTGCTTAAGTTCAACTGGATTTGGGGATGTAACTTTTAAAGCTTATAATGGGTAATAAACGAAAATCCCTGTGATAGATTTCGTCATACTTTTTTATATAAAATCTTCTTTATCCCATGCTAAATTTTAGTTTTTTCTAAACTTTTCTTTTGGTTCTACATATTAAAAAGGCTTGGACACTACACAATTCCAGAAGAGATGGATGAGGTTTGTGCTTGGCTAACATCAAAATTGGGCCTTGAAGGGAAAACAGCGTAGGTAGCCAGCAAAGGAAGCAAAATGTGAAAAGTAATTCTTTTCCTCTTTGGTCAATTGTAATTTTGTTATGCCAGATTTGATTAGATTCCTGCTCTGATGACATGCATAATATATTCTCAACCCATTTTGTATAACACTTGGCCTGAAGGCATCTTTGGAACAAGGTACTGTCATTGAAACAAAAACTTGCTGGCAAGTATGGGGATGGAATGCTGCTAATATATTATGCTGAAGAGGATCTACAATGGCAGTAGGGTTTTCGTTTTGTTACATAATCTTCCTTGAATGAGCTTCCAAGTGGGACTTATTACTGGAGGTGTACTTGGTTTTGGTTTTGTATAAAATCAAACAAAATATGTGGATTAGATTTTGAAACTTTCATTCTTTTTAAAAGTTCAGTTTGTCTTTTGACCAACTAATTTCATATATATCAGTTTTTAAACTGGTTTGTGAACAAAATTGGATTTCGCTGGCAGCTGACTTTACAATTTTTTTAAAATTCAAAACTGATTTTGAAACCAGTTCTGTAAACTGAACCTTATGTTTCAAACATAGTTTAAATTCAGATTAAAATTAGGTTATAAATATCAAGGTGATATGTGTTCTGGAAAGTTTGTTTTGTAAATCTATTCCAGAAAATATATTCTGAATTTTATGCGTTCCAAAAATTTTATTTCAAATGTCGTTTTATATACTACTTTTTCAAAATCTTGATTTGTTTAGGTTTCCCATGTAAACTTGAAGACCCTCTTCAAAATCTTGATTTCCTTTTCTTGACTTACTATAGATAATTTGTTATTCACCATCCATCCTCACCAAACACATTTCGAGACTATTACATCTTTTCTAGGGTAACAGATGTCTTTCTACATAAATCCCACAAACACATAATGGTTTATAAAGTCTTGAAGAATATTTATATATAACTCAGTGTTCAAAAGTAGATAAGAGATCCAACAATCTCCTCCAAAATTAAAACCCTTGCATTAGAACAACTATGCTCCATACACAATCATTAAACATGTAAAAATATTTCGTAACTCCTAAAAATGGGCTTAAAATTTACATAGCTAAGACCCCCAACAAATCCTCCAAAAAAAAAATGCTGGCGCAGATGATAAGCTAAGCCTCATAGAGAACCATTGCTACGTGTAAAGAATCTTCCATGACTCATTTCCAAACTTGGATGAAATTTACATGGCAAAGAGCTCCAAATCGCTCCACAAATACAAACCCTGATGCATGAACAACTAGGCCCCATACACAATCATTGATGATGATACATGAAAACCAATCAGCCACTGTTTCTTGAATCAACCCTGACACAAATCTGAAGGCACTAAACGAATGAGGAATGCAGTAAGCCTTTGAAAAATGAGCAATTTTTAGGCTCCAATCATCCCTACAAACAGATACGGTTCAAATACTCAATCCAACACAGCATGCATTATCCAACTGTTTCTCACCTCCATCGTGTGACGTTCGTTTTAATGGTGTCTCTTTAACAAACGAAACATTTTCTGCTTTGCTGGCAAAAGGTGACAAAAGGTGTTTTTCTTGGTCATCGTCCATTACTGATGTTGCTTGAGATGCACATGGTGATGCAGACGAAAGAGAATCAGTGATTTCATCTTCTGCAAATAGTCACACAGAGAATCAGTGCACATGTTTACATTGGACGCAGAAAGTGCAAAAACAAGAACACGAAACATATATATAAACCTGAACAGTCATGGTATTCCGGTAGTTGTTTAACAGTAGTTACTTCAACACACTCAGGAAGTAGGCAACTGCAAAGTGAACCTAAATTTTCACGAAAAGGCTGCACTTAGAATATATTTCATTGTGTTTCCATAACAAACTCTTCTGTGTAGTCTACAAGAATATATAGAGAATGTGCCATGAAAAGTACAAAACATCTTCAAACCATGATATTGAAAAATCACTAACAGAAAAAATAGCCTATCACAACACTAAATTGTAATTAAATTGTTAAAATGTTTGATGTATAAACGTCACACATAAATTTTGGTTTTTACCTCTGAATCTTTAGATATGATATAAAACAGACATATAAGGTTTAAAATAATTAACATAAAAAGTCTTTTTTTATTAGTGATTGATTTCTTTATAGTTTGAGACTACACACGTTTAGTTCATAAGAATTCAAAGACAAATATAATAAGAATAATCTTATCCTATATTATCAGACTTGGTTAAATATCATACTGTCAAAGATGTTATTCATCATGTAAGACCCTTTTCTGATAAATAAAGTAAGAAAGACAAAAATTATAAGGTGGCAAAAGCAAAGGTGTTGTGTTCATACCTAGCCTAGCAAGACGATTGACCCAACCTGGGATTCGTTTTCCATTCAATCTATTTGAAACATCATCCGTAAAATGATTGCAGTTCTTAGATATAAGATGGTAAGTATCTCCATGATACTCATTAGCTATACTCTCAATGAATGTTCGAAACTCAGAAGGATGCATGTTTATTTGGCCTAAATTGACAGAACATCTGTATATAAATCCAGGGCACTTCTTTGGCTCTACTTCAAATACTCCACTTGCTGGAAAGTCATGAGCTCCAAATCCATACTCTTTACCGTGTACTATTCAAACACAGATACATAAACAAGCTTCCTCCAATTAACAGTACAATATACATATTGCAACAAAAGCAAGAAACCATGCAATAACACATTACAAGAAACATGGAATCATAATAAAACAACTCTTAAACCCACAACATATATATGTAAACATGGTTTCTGAATCCTAATTTATAAGCTGCATGTTCAAAGATATTGATGTGTAATATCCCTGAGAGCATTACATCAGAGAAACTGATTTGTTTCAAAAGTACTTTTGTAGCTGTCACTAATATCTTCACTTGACCATAAATACACTTCGAGGGTTTTCATTGATCAAATTCTCTGGTATAAAGTTTGTGCATTTTGAGTTGCTTAGGTACTTTTCTAGTTCTATTATATGAAGTTGTTAGTTAAATGAAAGGCGAAGGCTTTGGTTAATTCCATGGTTCTTTTTCTGGTACAGGGAAAGAGGATGCTTTTCTTAGGAATCTTGGAACAATATTGGAAAGCTAAAATGTTCCTGAGCCTGTTCTATTAGTTCATTAGAACAAATTGTTTTGGAATTTTATACAAGACAAGCAAAGACATATATTATCCCATAAATTCTTTTCCATTTCATTCATGTAGACATATTTCTCAAATGGGATAACTACAACATTGATACACACAAAATCATATGTATTTGTTACCATTCCTTGAATGAGATTTAGAGAAAAGATGAATACAACCAGTCACAGGTTCTATATAAAGAATCATAACACAATGTGGCTATTATTCTATTCCAAGGAAAAAAAAGTATATCAATTTCTTCCTTTGATTCTCATCTGTATCTTTCTCTGCAGATATTCATCTTCAAAACCCTTTTGGACATTATATGTGGTAGCAAGTTGGCAGAAATTAAAAAGCTTGTTTGCTACGTAAATTGCATTGAATCATGAAGCATCTTATGATAATATAAAAAGGAAGAAGAAGAAAAATAACAATAAACATCCTTCGAGAGGGTGAGGAAAATGGAGAAGAGAAACGATTAAGGTTATGGAATGGAAAATGGAGAAGAAAAAGAAATAACATTAGGATTTAGAGAATGGAGAAAAGAAATAGAATGTTGAAAGAAACCTTCAATGCCAGAATGAAAGATTCCAAAGCCAAACCAATACAAATAATTGTTGAGAGGGGTGAGGTCGTAGACATTCAACACCATTCTGGTGATGTTGTGTTTGTCTTTGTCGCCATTGACATTATTATTATTATGATCAGATTTTGAGGTAGAATTGGAGCTGCTCTTCGTCGTCCCCATTTTTCCACAGAGATTGATGCTCTCTATGAATTCCTGGGGCAACAAAACAACCTTGGAAATCCTCAAAACGCAACAAATTATTTATATTGATTTATTCAATCATTATTTATTACGTGACTCTTAGTCCATGAATAATATATATCACAATATGTTAGACCAAACAACGAGAAACTCGGATTTGGATCCCCGCAATTTCTTCCTTCTTTTTCATTAAAAATTCCAACTTTCCCGGCAGATGACGAGGGTCTGTCTGTCTCTTCCACGTCTACTACAAATCATCTTCTGTCCTTTAGTTGTACTTTGCCCCCAAACAATCTTTTTCTTCTTTAAGTAAAACCGGTCTTCGCCAACTTCGAATACACCTTTTCTCTCTCGCAAAATAGATGGAATGTCTAATTATTACTTATTTATCATAAATCAAAATATATCATATACATTATATTTTATTAAAGATCTCACGTCAAAGATAAAATGAATTTACCCTATAAATTAATGTATTTTATTTATTTTTTCCATCATTTAGTTAAATTTATTCTTTAAACAAATTTAAATAATAAAAATAAGCATCACATGCAATAACATACACATCCTACTAAGGAAACACAAAATACTGCATATCAAAATACGAATTCTTGTATGTTTTAAATAAAAAATATATATATTTTGGTCAATAAGAAAGATGAGACATGGAGGGTGTGCAATGATTATATTAAAGAAAGATGTAACCTTTTTTTTCACCATTTTTATTATTATTCAATGGGTTAAGCACATCCATTTATCGGTTATTCTGCATTTTATTTTATTTGTGGATTTGTGGTACAAATTTAAAATATTTTTAAAAGTAATTTCTATATAACAGAAGCGAGAGATATTTTCATTTTGCATTCCTTCAGGCTGTGACTTTTGAAAGAACAAACCGTAGTGGACTCGTCAGCATTTGGCCAGACGACTGAACCAATGTCTCAAAACAACAACGAAAGCTCTGTCGTTGCTTTGCTTTTTTCTTTTTGGTTGCCTCATTTTGTAGCATGGGCACAAGAACGTGAGAAGAACTCACCAAATTTTCTCATAATTCATATTTTCAAGTATACAAATTAATCCGTTTTATTTTTAGTTTACGCGAGATTTCTAATATGTAAATATAAATTTTATTTTATAAACTAATTTTATAAAATTAAATTAAATTTAATAAAAATCATCTTGATATATAAAATTAAATTAAACTTAAATAACTTTTTATACAACTCGTATCAAATTGATACGAACGAAGAAGCATACATAATATTTTTCCATGGCTTACATAAAACTTTGGAAATCGATTCGATCCTAAGCTTTTTTCCGCCACCGATATTGATTTTTTAAGGAATATTTTTTCACTGTTGAGCTTTTGACATTAGTTTTATGATCTTGAATCCCTTTAATTCTGTCTTATAGCTCCTCAAATAAAGATCTTTGGTGTTTACTAATGATGAGTTGCAGAATTTCTTTTAAGTCCATCATCACCATTTTCTTTCTACATACTTGTACTCATTCAAACATAATTTCTCAACTTCTATACTCTTTCCTTTTATTTAATCAGCTAATTTAGTTTATAGAAAGACCACAACTTTGCCTTTGTTCTGTGACTCCGTGTTACAAAATTGACTAAATTCACTTTTCACTATCCAAAATTTGACTTGCTTTTCTTTCTTTCTTTTTCTAAAATATATTTAATTAATTATTTAAATTATTTTCTTTTTAAGTTATTCAAACAAGTGTTAACATATATTTTGAAAACGATTGTAACTTACATTTTTTTAAATTCAATAAATTATAAACTTACTGAATTGTGATGAGATTTTATTGATGATAACATTTGGAAATACTACTTGCAGTTTAATTTCCATTTGTCAGTTTTGTTGTCATATATGTTAATGATATTTGGGTTATCCATGTTTTTAGTAATCTTTTAAATTTTCCATTTTACGTTATTCATTAATTTGAAAATATAACAACAATTTTTAATATATTAAAAAAAATGAATTTATATTTATAATATTAACTTTAATATATATATATATATAGAGAGAGAATCTAAGCTTTCTAATTTTTATCACCAATAAATTTTCTTATATTTTAAGTTCCAATTTTTTTATTATATTAAAATTATATTTTTCAACTCAAACAAAAGTTCAAACAATTTAAATTCTATAAAAATAATATCAAATTAATTCAGTGACACCCTAAAATATAACAACCACATCATATAATTTAGGAGTCAACATCTCCAATAAAGAGAACAGTTAGAATATGACTTGCAATTTGAACACGAAATTACAGTCATCTAAAACATAATACATAGTTAAACTTAAACAATTTAGAGTATTTAATATCCAAAGGTCTAAATATCTAAATCCTAAGTAGACTGTGCAGCAGCATCATTCTCCTCTAGCTCTTGCTCCAAAGGTATCTCCTCACCAACATCTGCTCCCATCCAAGAGGATGATCATCGCAAAGAAAACATACACAAGAACTACCCAACACAGAAGCAAGGGTGAGCTAGATAAACAAGCAATAATCATACTGTTCAATCACTTAATAATCATCATGCTTAGTACATATAAAACAGTTAATACATAACACTTTAAACCATGACTCCAACACTCACGTGACTCAATCCGGATTAGTATAACTGTCGAACTATTGGTCGTCTTTGCACTTGTGTAGTTCAGTTGGCACTCCCCAACAC